GCCCCGCTGCCGGGATTTCCATATAAATTTGATCGCTCGTCGCTGTTTTAGCGGCGCACGGCCGGCCGGCCGCCCTCCCGCCCTAGTCGCGGCCCCGGCCACGCCCGTCTTGGCGCGCGTCTTTCAGTCTCACAGGGCTAGGAAATTCTAAACGGAGGAGCTGCAAATTGCTGTGACAAAATGTAATATTACAATTACGAGTATGCTGGCTTAACAATAACGACAATGACATAGTCTTATGACATGTGCACCAGTTCCCTGACAACGTTATGGAATTGCTTCATAACGGTACCATCGTTGACCAAGCGTTCGTATTCAAACAATTCATTATTTACGTACTGGGGATAATTCATAAAAAATGAAGAAACGAGATTCATTTCCCATACCAATAATTCATTTTAATGAAACTTACAACATAATGTAATTTGTTTAATACTAAATTTATTTGTTTTACTATTTAAAATTTCCTTTATTACTAGTAAATAGGTTATAAATCAGCGGTCCTCTGAGGGACCGCAGAGCGATTTTAAGGAGACCCTGAGGGATCACTGGGGGAAATGTTGGCCTTTTGCGATTGGCTGCCACGTTGCATGAAGGAATCGAATTTATTTCCTCTGACAATAATTGCCAAAGAGGATTTTTTCGATTCTTGTGATCTCTGATCCCAGCAGAGTTGTCTAGAAGCCGCTGGTCGAAGGTGAGGCCCACTGTGCTCGCATACATGGGACGTGCGTGCGCACAGCTCACCTGCACGGGCATCCGCCACGCGAGCAAGGAACTGATTTGTTTGTACTTTTTTGTACAGTTTTATTATTATTGTATCGTGGCGCATTTTACATAGTAGCTCTACATTTTTGGTATATTTTATTAATTGATAGTGGATTTTCTGAAGCGTTGCCATAAACCTCACGAAATATTTATAAATGCACTCCTGATGAAAAGGTCAAAATGCCCTCGAAACGTAGGGATGTGTGTATGAATGTCTGACAATTAATTTTGTTTTTTCCATTGCCTTCTATTAAACCTCAAGAAAATTCAATTTAATGGCTATAAAAAAGGGGACAATAACAGATAGTTAGTAGAAAATGTTATACTAAAGTATCGACAGACATAATTGCAAAGGTTTTTTTCCTCAGGCAGGGTGCCAGCTATTTTCGGCTGATAGATAGGCATTTCAAAAGAAGCACGCGGTCGCGCGCTTCAGTGGTGAGCGTGGGTTCGTTCCCCAACATCATGGCGCGTGTGCTCTGTGGTGCTGTCTGCGTGTTTCTTTGTTAAGTCATTGATACGTTGCAACACAATAATTAATTTTTGAAAACTCATTACCACGGCATGCGGTATTTTCAGCTTCAGTAAATTTCACATTGCGTCCATTTTCATTTTTCTGTCGCGTTGTGTATTGCTACCTGGCGTAAATATTCATAACCATCTGTAGGTAAAACCACACGAGTAAAAATAAATATAAAATATAAAAAATAATGCTGTGTACAAATAAACGGAAGTGCACGCTGCTATGCAAATAAAATTACATGGGTGGACGCGTTTGGGCGCGTAGGTGCGTGCTGTGGGTGTGCGCGAGTGGGCGCAGAGCGTGTCGCCCATCCGGCCTCGTGCCCTCGCGGGGCGCCGCCCGCACCCGGTGGGGAGGACGGGGGGGGGGCTAATTCGTTTTTTAATTTCCTCGTTACTTTGTGCTAATAAAGGAATGCAGTCGAATCAAAATTGGATCTCGCATTTTTGGCGGCAATGCAAATCGTCGTGGAAATGCCGATAAGTGCAGTGTGGTTTGAAGATGCGTCTCCTCGTGCGTCTCTCTGGCTGCATGTAGCCTTCTTTCAAAAAGGTTTAGTGTTTTCAGAGTACATTTTAAGTATTTTTTGCAAATAGTTGCCCTTTGTCATGCAAACGCATTGACGTAATAATTTCATTCGAAATTGAATATTTCAAAAGTACTAAAGGTTTACATTTTTGTTAAGAGGAAGAGGTAAATTACACTAAATACATTTTTATTTTGTGTCGTATACGAAATAAAAAGCATTCTCTAATGTGATAAAATTACACTCTTCGTTATAATGATATTAATTTTTAAAATAACATATTCTTCTAATATAAAACACAAAATTTTGAATTTTTATTCAAAAAGTCAAAGCGCTACTTAATCATTAATTAGCTGTACTTTAAAAAATGACGGGGATAATCTGATGGCCATTCACTGAATGGAATATATATGGTGTAAAATATCTAAAGGCGCAAATAAAATATATTCAGAATTCTTTATATTCAGATTTTATTAATGTAATTAACAAATTCATATTGATTACATGATACCCAAAAAACGTATCCTGTCTAAAAGGCGCAACTAATCACAAACTGCGGAGGAGACCTACAATCATGGTTCATTTAGAGCATGCGAGGGAGTTGCAGAAACCATAGGTTACTTCCTTCTGCGTACCCCTGAACACATGTTTTTCTTGCTACCCTTCTTTCTCTAGGTTATTTATCTCGCATTTTTTCCGTAATGATTTTTTCTGCGGGCAGACTGTGATACATTTCAAGTCGAAACCTTCACAATTGAACGGGCTATTGGAGGCAAAGTCACTTATTCCTTGAATGTGGATCACAAATTTTGAGTGCACTCTTTACAATAGAGACGTGGGGTCATTTTGGAACATATTTGTGTGATTTGAAGGGTTTAAAAATGGACGTTTTATTTTCAACAAGTTCTCCGCAATTTTTCTATTTGCTTTTTAATTACATACCCATCTTCACCTATTAGTTCGAGTTGCTATCTTATTTTTCTTGATCCCCGTCAGAGATACATGCATACGACCTTTATTATTTAATTACGACCCCTCGCAAACCATGGGGAAAATGTCAGTCGCTAATAAGTCCGGAAACATGTTTTGATACATATTCGGTTTGTAATTTTTGATTGTACCTACTATGCTGAATTTTGCACGTTTGAAACGACCAGAAACCGATGAGAACTCTAATGTTTCAGAACTGTGTAGTAGTCGATGATTTTCTTGCACTGCTGGCTTAAAAGTGTGTGCAGGAAGTGAACGGGTGCATAAGAACGGCGAGGTACACGGCGGCTGGGCCGCGCGGGGCAAGCGGGCCGCGCCGAGATGCTCAAGGCGGTGTGCATGCGCATTAAAAAATACCTCTCCGCCTCGTGTTTTAATGGTTTGGGCGCGCCCGGCGCCCCGCGTGGCGCGCGCGCTCTGCTGCCGCCTAACGAGCTGAAAGAGCGCGCGCCGGATTTCCATATTGTGAAGTCAGTCGTGCGCCGGGCGGGCGAGCGGGCGGGCTCTTCATCTGGATAGCGCGGCCGCCCACGCCCCGCCCCGCCCGCCCCGCCCCGCCCCCGGAGCGGGCCGCGATGGCCCTGGTCACCTCCACGCGCCCTCTCAGTGTCTGACGGCCGACGTTGCGTGAAATGGGCTGTGGCCCGCCCCTCGTGGGGGGTGGCGCTTGGCAGCAGTTGGCGGCGGGAAGGCGCTTCTGTGTCGCTTGGATGACTTTTTTGTGGCCACGTGCGTGAAAAATCGCTCAAATGAGAAGTTGGCAGTCGGTGAACCGTATCGTGTGAAGAACGCTTCCACACCTACGTCCTAATAAGATGCAACCTTTTTTTTGTCGAACCCAAAAATCTGTTTTTATCTTTATCCAGGATATACATGTTTTTTTTGTTCATGGGTTCACTACGTGTGGGTACACTATGTGACATATGCTGAGTGTTACGCCCTGATTCCAAATATATGCTTTCATTTTTTCTAACACGAGTAGTTTCTGAGACAGGACTGTTTTCATAGGTGTCTTGGCGAAATCCCCAACGGCAAAGCCGTTTCTTCAGGAACTACTGTTGCTTGGGAGAAATGATTTTTGTTCTGACTAGCGTATCTCAAAACAAATAAGATACGAATGTATATCTACAACAATAATTTCACAATTCTACTAAACTCTTGAGACACGGTCCCTTTCAACAATATTTGTTTGTGTTGCAGCATTCCATGCTGTATTCTTCCACCACTACGAGCTGCCGGTGATTCTCCAACAGGCGCATTTGCAGCACCTCCTGTTTGCGCCAACCAGCAGCAACAGCAACAGCAGCAGCAGCAGCAGCAGCAGCAGCCGCCGGGGGGGGCGCCGGCGCGCGTGGCGGTAATCGTGGCGGGCGGCCGCGCCAACGCCGCCGCCGCCGGCGGCCGCCGCCAGCGCCGCGCCAACGCTGCCGCCGCCGCGGCCGCTGCCGCCACCGTCGAGGGCCCGCCGCCGCCGCCCGCCGCCCCGGAGCCTCGCCCGACTCCCCGTCCGCCCCCGGGGACGCCGCCGCTTCCGACTCGACCGCCGACGCCGCGCCCGGCGACTCTGGCGCCGACGCGGGCCGCAAACCTCTCCCCGCCCCCGCCCTCACCTCACCCCCACCCCCGCCCCCGCCTCGTCGCCCGCCTCATCTCTCGAAGCGCAAGTACTGACGCAAGTGCCGCCGCCTCCACCACCTCCACGACAGGCTGACGCGGCGCAACTCTCACGCCGGTGCCGCCCCGCTGCCGAGGCGGGGGCGGAGGCGGAGGCAGAGGCGAGGCGGAGGCGGAGGCGGAGGCGGAGCGCGCGCCGGCTCTTGGTGCCGCGGGATCCCTCGCTGGACGGAGGCGCGGAGGCAGAGGCGGAAGCGGCGTCCCCGGTGGCGCCTGCCGCCGCGGCCCACGACTGACCGCGCCCCGGCGCCGCCGCCGCCGCCGCCGACGCGAAAGTTGTGATAACTGAATGCTAGTTAATCTTTCACGGGGGACTTGGGTGTAATTGTTATATACTTTTTTCTCTTTCCAATTACAGTGTATTTATCCTTTTTAAAGCGCCCATACATTTTGCTTTCCTCTCTTTTCTTCTTTTTGAATTCGTTTTCCGGTATACGTGTGTCTTGTAAGTTTTTCACCTCATTATTGCTACATATACGGCCCTTTACTGCCACTGAAATAAATGATCGTACAGCTTAACAGGTAGACCTCGGGGGAAAGTTGTTTTGGGGCAATGCTACCTGATGTCTAATTTGTTATGTATATTTTTTGCACATTGGGTGCTTTTTTTGATGAATAGCGTTTTGTAACAGTTTGTACAGCCCAAAATAGCATGTAATATATTTTATGTATATATGCACTTGGTAGTATGTACATAATCAATTTTATTTCAGAACTTTTGAAATTTCGTTTATCGAACGTTAATCGTAAACGCTATTCGCATTTAATTGACATTAAAAATACGATCACATGTACGTAACCTGAACCTAACCTGTTCTATGCAAGTAGCGATTCTGGGGAGTCCCCGGATGGAAATACACCGACATCACAGTTTCCTTTGTTAGATCTAGGTAGGTTGCTTACGATGGGTACTCTAATATTTAAAGTAACTGCCCAACTTTTGTGGACTATTCTGCTCAATAATCACGCTTTCAAAATTCCATCCAGAATGCAACTGCTGTCTCAGAAATAAAATACTCTCTCCAGCATAGAGCAACTTCGTTAATCTTGGCTCTTGAATCATAACTCCTCTTCCTTAGTCAGGTGGTGCTAACAAGCATATTTAACTCGTGTCGATTGCATTCTATTCGTGTCTTGGCAAGGTCAGGCATTACGGTTGATCCCCTGAAGCAATAACACTACGTGGGCAACTCTCATCAGAAGAAGACTTCGATGACTGTGAGTGGCGAAGAACGATTTGCAAAGAATGGACAAACGTTTTTTCACGTACACATGCATTCATTGGTGTGGAAAGAGACAATCAACCGTTTGATTCTACCAAACGTTTCGTCGTTTAGTTGAATTCCACATTTTGCTCTTGGGTTGTGAGGCATGGCGAAAAGAGCCTTCGTTCAGTTACTTCTTTTCGATCCTTTTGTTGGAAAAGAGTAACCACGTAACTGCAATGGATTCGTTAATGCAACTTCGATTCACATGCTTTAGTTGTCAGATTTAGTGGATGCTGTAGCGAGTGTATCCTCATGATATTATTGTTTTATTTTCCCTTAGTCTGTTGTTTGGTGTACTTGTTAGAGGCGATAAGACCTTTTTTGTTTTCACCCTACGTAGAGTAGATTTATATATTATTGTATTTACTATTTATTGTTGGTAAAATGGATATTTTGGCAGGAATGTATATATAGGCTTGCGTTGTTATATGTCAGAACGAAGTGTTGTTATACATACTTTTGAATAAAGGATACTTAATATTATTATCTTGAAGTAGCCCCTTGTCATCCTGTATTTTTATCACTTTTTAGTATGAATACCCAGCAAGCACTGGTGAGCAGTCTTGTAATCTTTACTATGCTAAATGAGAAGCAAGAGTTTGCGGACACGTGGAGAGAGTGTGTATGTGTCGTTTCTTGATGATTTTTTTTATTTCGACCACAAGGCTCTGTCTGTCCCGCTCTCCGCTGGTCTTGCCGAAGCAGAGCGGCGTTTGCTCGCCCGCAGGGAGCGCGGCCGGCCAAGTTTCCACGGAAGCGGCAGGAACGCCAACGCTCGTTCCTGTGTTTGACAAAGACATGTCTGCATTATTGTTCGTAATGATCATTGCGTGGATGAGGATCCGAATTTGTCAAACGTTTGTACAAAACATAGCGTCTTCTGTATATAAGATTCTGAATGATGTAAATTGTAAAGAATTAGCATAAGGTCATTGTGGTGTGTGTATGTAATTCTACTCGCAGTGACAATGCCTTTCTTTGAATTGGCTTGTTCTCCACTGTTGCTGCATTCGCTAAGTTAGAAAGCATATAATAAAGGGCGACTCTACCCTGTTAATGATTTAGTATCTTCATAACACTTGTTCTGCACTTTTTCCCAATCCAGTTGTCCAATTCTTTCCACTTCCAAATAATTTTCTTTTTCAGTCAAACCGCTTATGTTGAATTATAATTTTCAGTCCCTCAAGAGTGATTTACCGTTTCATCCAATAGAGATGAAAAGTTAATAGCATGGTGTATGTGTCTTACGTAATTAGGTAATTAAACAAGACCTTTCGACGTTTATTCGTAAATTGCACGGATGGCATTCAGCGTTACGCCGACTTTATGCAGTGGTATATTTACAAGATGTGTTTATTGGCATATAGTGCAAGAAAAAAGTGAAATTTTGGAAAAGGGCACAGCTAACACATCAACCTCCTTTTTCCGATTGTTTATCGTGATGTTCACATTCTAGTGTCAACGAGAAGATAAATATTTGTCATCATTTAATTCTGTGTTCGTAAAATGTATTTCTCTTTCAGGATCGTACGCTTCTAGACGTCTACTTGTGGCTCGAGATTAAACATTGAACCTATTTTGGCTTAACCGAATTAAGTAGTTTCCCCACATTGGAGAGTTGCGTAGTGTAACATTATGATACGGCGATGTCAAAAAAAAAACAACCAGAGTTACAGGTGATGGGAATTGTCTTGAAATATCTTTGCAAAATGTTGCAGAAAGTACGAATATCAGTGATTCTGCAGATATTAATCCAGGGAAAACTATATCTGCTATTTGAATTTTTCTCGCTTGAAAGAGTACATTATTAAATGTGCCTATTTGGGTAACCGAAGTCGCTAAAGCAGCCGCGCCATAGCATTCTCTACATCAAAGGTCGCGGGTTCGAATCCCGCCTCGGACAGAATGGGAGTAAAAGACCGACCATTAATTACGTAACGCAAAGTCTGAGTGCTTTGACCTCCTCTCCACCCTGCGACCACTTTCAACGTGCGCTTGAACCCCCTCTCCCCCACTCACAGTAAGCAAAAGTAAATGATGTAAGAATAAAAACAATTCACATTAACTGATTTGCATTCTATATTCAAATTTATGATAAAGCGGAAATTATCTGGTGATGAAACTACACCTAACAATAAGATGGGCCATTTTTGAGTAAAAGGAGAACGCAGAGGTGAGAAAATTTCTGGATATAAGCTGTACACGCACTGTCAATGCATGGACGAGTCTACTGTACCTATTTAATTGGATTCTATGATATAGATAAGTTTTAAATAGTTTTTTCGCAATCCTTTCAGATTCAATCCTTATTCTATTGATGGAAAAGCATTTCTGTTTATTGTGGCAATTTATCCATCAACTTTTTAATTTATTTTTCAAATTTAATTTGTTAATATCTTAATGTTTTTTGTACAACATTAAATAAAAGGAATTATTAGAAAAAATGTCAAATGAAAATAAAGTTTAAAAAAACAGTTAAAGACTTTGGCTGTTTGTAAAGTGACCTAAAATGAATAATTAAAAAGAAATATCAGCGTTACGGAACATATACAAATTCTCCCTATCCCTATGTAACGCAGCGTTACTGCCTGAACCCCCTTCCCCCTCTTTGGCGATTCGCAATTTACAGACGACTTCAAGTGCTGTCGAAGGGCCCACGAACCACCACGTTCCCGCCAACTTCCCTCCCCCATTTCCAAACAGTTGTGACGCTGCATGTGGATCGGGTTGTCGATGGCCAGTGAGTGGTTCTTAGAGCGAAAGATGTCGGTGGATTCCTTCCGACGTTAAACTGCTTAGTGATTACTCCGTCAGGGCTGGTAAACCTGTGCCGCTTTGGGAGATTGCAAGAAGTGTGCGCGTCCTTGTCCGTCCTCTTCCTTTAAAGAAGGCATCGTAAGTACACCTGAATTCCTCTCGAGGCTTTCCGTGACAGAGTGCTTTTAGCTGCCCCATCGCACCCAACAGCGACACCAAACGCGACTCCGGCAGATGCAACACATGTGGTTGAGTCCACGACGGCGATCGCCCTCTCAAACTGCAAAGCTTTTCCAGAACTGTAAACTGGTGCTCGAATAACCGTCTCTTTTGGTTGCCATTATTGATTAATTTGCGTGCGTGTTTTACTTATTCCTTATATGATTTTTACTTATTCTACCCCAACCCTATTTTACAAACCCAATTACGAACGTTAGGACTGGAGGTGCATGGAGCGTCTAAACTCGTCTGGGAAAACTTTTGGGCATGGCATGCAAAGGTTTGCCATATTAATATTATGCCACGTTTATTATGTTATGAATATAATGCATTTAGCAATATATTGCGTTACGAATACATTCAACGGACAATGGAAACTAGCGAAATTTAAACATCTGTGGCAAATCATTGTACGAGTGTCGGACAGAAAGTAATTCCCCTCAGTTTTTTCTCCAGAAATATTTTTGGGAAGAACCTGAAATTTCCACACGATATTTAATATATGATTGTTCTACTGGCTCTCTCTTGTACATAATTTGCATCGACGTGTGCAGCCTTGCGCCAGCGAGCGGCAAGGACGTGCATGCAGTGTTGTCTTTCCTCCACATCGGGTCACCGCCAATCTTTCCTCCGCGAATAGGGTTTTCCACTGACAGAAAGCGATAAACATCGGAGGGCGCTAAATATGAACTGGTTGGGGGGGGGGGGGTCACAGTCAATTTGTGCTGGTGCTTCTCTAGTTTTGACACATGTATGAAGGCGTGCGTTATCGTGCAAGAGCAAGCTTTGCCAA